CGGGTTTGATTCCCAGCATCCCAAATGGTCCCCTGAGCACCACCAGGAGTCATTCCTGAGTGCAAAGTCAGGAGTAATCCCTGAGCATTGCTGGGTGTGACCCCAAAAGAAAAAAAAAACACATGTCCATACCTTGCAGTTCTCAACCCTAATTCTGTTTTTTACAGTTAACTTTCACAGTCGCTGCCTTTAAGCATAGGTGTTTTATTTTGTAATCTGATGTTTGTCCTCACAATGACATATAAAATTTTATATTCAAAGTTGTAATATCCAAAATGACATACAAGATTTTAAAACCCATGGTATTGTGATGTTTCCTTATGAAAAATTTGCTTTATTAAACTACTTGTTAGTAAGGCAGAGCTAGCTCACCATTCCTGGGTTGATTACTGCTGGATTCTTAGATGAGAGAGAAATATATATATATATTTAGGTCACTTTTTTGTCATCTTCATTGCTTGAATCAGGTTAATCTTCCCTCTAGCCTATCCAATTCCATTGTGCCATGCAAATATTTTGGTTTTGTATTTATGTCATAAAGTTGACTAAGCACAATAACTTGGATTTTTTCTTGGTACTTTTTGTTATCCTTTCAAGGCAAAATTATTTCCACCGATCCAGATATTCAGTTTATTCCTTAGATATCCATTGGGTACCCCCAATTCTTGCAGAAAAAATGATCCCAATAGTGGGTGTTGTCCATAGGTAGCCATTGCCTTGCCTTGGGTGGCACCTGGTGATGTCTTCGCCAATATTCCTCCTTCCCAGGATACCAGCACCAGGGAATACCTGCATTATGGGTTGTCCTGACATCCTGCTATTTCCTTAATGGTTCTGTCAGTTGCTGGGAGACAGGCATGCTTCCCAGATTCTCCTGCTTTGAGCGTCTAATACTAGGAAAACCAAGTCCCCAGGAAAACAGAGCCTCCTGAAATTCATCTTTAGCCTCTGAGCCTGGTTATAATGTAAAGAGATGGCAACATTACCATTAACTGCCACCTCCTTGGACAAACCACCTGTGGACACCTTCATCTTGTGCCGTATGGGGAGGAACTTGGTAGAAGCCCTTTCCCCAACTCTTCGGAACTTGTTCCTTTCACTTTGTGTGTGGGGGTGGGGGAGATGTATATGTGAGGTTGTCACACCCGGTGATGCTCAGGGCTTAATCCTGGTTCTGTGCTCAGGAATCACTCTGGGCGGGCACAGGGGACTATATGGGATGCGGGAGACCAAACACGGATCAGCCGGGAGCAAGGTAAACGCGCTACCACTGTAAAAGGGCTCAGGCCCCTGTTCTTTTCATTTCTGACTCCGGAACTCCCTGCCCTACACCTCCTTCTGCAGTCCCCATGCGGTGGCCTGCAGTGCTTCGGGCACCACCAGGGCACAGTCCAGCTGGCCTGTAGGTAGGTTTCGGTTATGGACTGAGTCCATCCCAACTTCCGCCACGCCTTCTCGTTCCGGAGCTAGGTGTTGCAGGGGTGAGCCTGTGGGGTCCGCCAACTGGGCTGCATAGGAGTGCGTGAATATCTGGCGATCACCGTTGTGCCAGTTCGTTGAGCGTGCTCATCACCGTTGCTTGTGCTGCTTTGAGGTTCTCACGCAAGGCCATTAATAGTGTTTGTGCAGCCCACGCACGCGGGTGACCTCGTGTAGTGTTACTGTTAATGATAACGTGCAGCCCACGCACGCGGGTGACTCGTGTAGTGTGTTACTGTTAATGATAACGTACCCAGACTGTGCTGGTGGGAAGCCGTGGTCTTTGTAGCTTTGAGTTTTTTCTTTATATCAAATCGTTGCTGAAATTGATGTGTCGGAAAATCTGTCTTTCGTGGAGTTACTTCCTGCATTCTTTTCCCTTATTGCATTGTCTAAAAGCGATTTTTTGCTGCAATAACAGTAAGCTGTGTATAAGCATCACACACAAAAAGGGGTGTGACCCCCCCACCCCACAGCAGTTAAAAAGATGTTCAAGCGCTGCTATCAGGAAGTGCAACCAGGGGTCTGCACATGTGTGGGCACAACTCTCTCGCTAAGCACATCCAACTTGTGCTTCAAGAGTGTGGCCCTGGAAAGCATGTGCGCAAGCATAACTGGAGTGAAGACAAAAGCAAGAGAGGTCGGAGGATTGGGCGCTCTCCTTGCATGCAACCGGCCTGCGATTGAACCCAGCATCACAAATGAACCTGAGTAGAGAGGCAGGAGATACTGGTAAAAGACCTCAGCAAGAAATCACAACAAATACACACTGTTATTGCAAGAAGAAAGGGGCATGGGGTGCAGGGGAGTTGTGAACTCCTCTAAAACTTTTTTTGTGTGGCAAGTTTGTGGGGGAAATGCAGCCTTTTGGCTAGAAATGACAATGCTCTTTGATGTCATTCAATCCCAGCTTTTTGGTTATTGGCTGAGGATTCCATTTGTAGCAGGAGGCAGAAAAGGAAGTAATAATGTGAGTTTTGACAACATGAAGACTGGTATTCAGTAGAAAATATGCCAAATATGCCACTGGAGGGGGCTGGGGACTAGGACAGGAAAGGGGCAACATTTACAGTGAAGGGAAGCATTATACCCTGAGGAGGAGGTTGTACAGAAAGGGGTTAAGTGTGTATGAAACTATCAGCAATCGTAATATAAATATAAATAAATAATATAAATCACAGTGCAAAAGCTTATATATATATAAATCTTCTATATGATTATATATATACATTTATATATATCTCAAGATTGGAGCAATAGTAGAGGGTTGGGGCACTTGCCTTGCACACAGCTGACTTGTACTTGATACACCGAATCCCATAATGTCCCTGGAGATCCACCGGGAGGAATTCCCTAGTACAGTGTCAGGAGTAACCCCTGAGCATTGCCTGGTGTAACCCAACTAAGAAAAAGAGTCTGGTAGAAGCAGACTGGTGTTTGGCAGGCAAATAAGGTTGATGGGGGAGGCACTGGTAGAGGGAAGTGGACACTAATGAAGGAATCCATGTAAAACATTGTATGACTGAAACCACTTAATTGCTCGAGCGGGCCCAGTAACGTCTCCACGGGAGACTTTGTTGTTACTGTGTTTGGCATATCGAATACCTCACGGGGAGCTTGCCAGGCTCTGCCGTGCGGGCGAGATACTCTCAGTAACTTGCCGGACTCTCCGAGAGGGGCGGAGGAATCGAACTCGGGTCGGCCATGTTGGCTGCGTGCAAGGCAAATGCTCTACCGCTGTACTATCGCTCCTCCGCCCCGAAACCACTTAATTAAAATTAAAAAAAAAATTTTAAAGAATGAGTTTTGAATCCTGAAAAATACAAGACTGTCATGCTACCCCTCTCCCTGTTTATAAACAGCTCTGTATCCCTACACTAGAAGAGGCTTACAGCTATAGCCTAAATGAGTTGTCACTTTCTAAAAACACTATCTTGATTTTGTTCTTTTGAGAGGACTAGCCATACCTGGCAGTGCTCAAGCTTCCTCCTGGCTCTGTTCATCAAGCTTGCCCTCGCCACTCTCTTTATATCTTTATTCTGATTATTCCAATCAGCAAGGGAATTTATTGCTCTACAGTCCCCAAGGTGCAGAAATACATGCCCTGGAGGGCATTAGAAAGCGTCTCATATATGCTATCATATGGAGAATTTATCAGACTACAAGGTGTAGGCATTAGTCAGTAGAAATAGGCCAGTGATGGAGCAGGACCTTTGGAAGTTCCCTGATAAAATACCTTTATGTTTCAAGATTGGGGGAAATAGACTTTCACAATTTGAGTAAGATTATATTGTTTTCCAACCACTTACCAATTTTAAGGCTGTAAGACTGACTTATCATTACATTTCTAACACTTCTGAAATTAGAATACTTAAAAAAAACTAATGGTTTTAAAAATTTGTTGAAACACAGTAATATAGAAAATCTTATTTTTACATCCATAGCTGACATAATCTTGCAACCTAAGTGGGGTCACCTGCTTTAGAGGTAATTCAAATGTTTTTTAAGATACATCTGCTCTGATGGAGAAATCTATACTTGATTTTACAGTATATATATATATGGGCTGGAGCAATAGCACAGCGGTAGGGCGTTTGCCTTGCACGCAGCCAACATGGCCGACCCGAGTTCGATTCCTCCGCCCCTCTCGGAGAGCCCGGCAAGCTACCGAGAGTATCTCGCCTGCAAGGCAGAGCCTGGGAAGCTCCCCGTGACATATTCGATATGCCAAACACAGTAACAACAAAGTCTCCAATGGAGACGTTACTGGGCCCACTCGAGCAAATCGATGATCAACGGGAGGGCCTTTACTTACTTATATATACAATACTATAAAACTATCACTTGCATTAATGTATAGTATAAAGTTGCAATTTCCCCTCAATTTGCAATCAACTCACATTTAGGTGAATTTTTTTCACAAATGGAGTAAATTATCTCAACCACTGAGTAGGTTTTTTTTCACTATTTTTATTTTGGACCATACCCATTATTACTCAGGGCTTACTCCATGCTTTGACCATATTTGCTGCCAGAGATTAAAGTGGGATCAGATGTGTGCAAGACAAGTGTTCTTAACCCCTTCTTACTATCTATATTTCACTATTCCGAAGTAGAAAAAAGTTAGGTTTGAGATTCAAATTGCCAAATTTAACTCAACTGCTTCTAATGAATACCATGAATGGAAGGTAAAATATTATCTTAACTAGTTTATTATTAAAAGTTTTGTAAATATTCTCTGAATAAAAATAATATATGTAAAATCTGTTTCTATGGGCCCACGTTTCCTCCATCTAATTAGTACTTATTTTAGAGAAACAGGAAAATAAAGGCAACGTATTTTGTTACTGTTTTTGGGTCACAGTCAGCACTGCTTAGGACTTACTCCTGGCTTTGGGCGCAGGGATCATCTTAGCAGGCTCGGGGAAGAATACAGGATGCCAGAAATTAAACCTGGGTTGGCAGCATGTAAGGCAAGTGCCCTACCTTCTGTGCTATTTTTCAGCTCCAAGACATTTTTAAAAAACAAAAACATAACTTTGATATTTAGATTTGTAACCAGTCATATATGCTTTCTTTTATTAAGGAAATATTACAGATAAATATAACAACTCCCTCCAAACTTTTTTAGATCCTAGAAGGCAACCAAAGTCATACATGATCAAACAGTATTGTTTTTAACACTGATTCTATCACAGAAATAATCACATTTTCATTACATCATTCATAGATAGAAATTTGTTTGATTTAAAGTAATACAAACCAAGATGTAGTAAACACAGTAAGATAAATCTTTGTACACACAATGGTGCCTCTGAGGCTAAAACATCAAAATAGAATTGATTGTATCATATTTGTTTTGGTCTTTGGATCCCAAAAGACAGCGCTGGGAAACCAAGTGGTACAGGACTGAATCCAGGCTTCTAGCAGGCAAAACATACACTCCAGGTCCATCTCCTTGCCCCTGTGTACCATTAATTTAAAACCTTGTTTTAAAGAAATTTTGTTCTCTGATAAAATATTTCATCATAATTTTAGAATTTTTTATATTTTGGTATCCAATCTATTTAGATTTAATTTTTATATATGGTACAAAGATCTCTTGTTCATATATACCTACCATGTACTGAAAAGGCCAGCCTTTCTCTGATGATTTCAATATCACAACATACAAAGAATCCCTATAATATCCCTGGATTTCTGTATCTGTAGCCAGTGACTTACTTAGTCACCAAGACAATATCATTCAAATGACACTAATTTGTAAAGTATATACCACCTGGGGGACTGTCTTTGTGGTATTTTATATTTCTTTCCGATATTTTGAGTTGGTTTTTTAAATTTCTTATCATCCTTTTAACTAGTGAAAAACAGTTGGAAGTACTTAGAGATCTTGGAGTAAATTTCTATTTTCTCGCTAGGTCTTTCAAATTAAATTTTCCTCAGAATGTTCAGTTATTTTGGTAGTGTTTTTCTATCTTTTTCTTGCTTAATTTATTGGTTATAAACTCGTGTCACATTGGTATTTTTGCAGCAGATCTTATTTCACTTTTTAAATGACTGCTGGATAAATATTACATATGTAGGTCTGCCTAAGGTTTTAGATCATCAGGTTTTTCATTATACATGTTACCTTAAGATGAATTCAGAGGATTTTTAAATGAGACTTCTTCAAAAGGCTACATTTATTGTATTCTTCTCTAGAGCTGTTTATGAAATTAACAAGGGATAATTTCTTTTAAATACTTTTCCATTTTCATAATATCCACAGAACTTCTAATGAGTGTGGATTCTCTGATGCCTAACAAGGTGTGACTTTTGGCTAAAAGCCTTACCACACTCATTACAATGGTAAGGCTTCTCACCTGTATGTTTTCTCATATGGAGTGTAAGAGATGAGATTTGAGAGAAGGCTTTTCCACATTTACTACAGTCAAAGGGTTTCTCACCTGTATGACCTCGTATATGTATAGTGAGGGATGAACTTTGGGAGAAGGCTTTACCACACTTATTACATTCATAGGGTTTCTCACCTGTATGACCTCTCATGTGCACGATAAGGGAAGTTCTTTGAGAGAAAGCCTTCCCACATTCATTACACACATACGGCTTCTCACCTGTATGACTTCTCATGTGTAAATTAAGCAGTGAGCACTGAGAGAAAGCTTTTCCACATTTATCACATTCATAAGGCTTCTCCCCCGTGTGACTTCTCAGATGAAGAGTGAGGGATGCAATCTGAGAGAAGGCTTTACCACATTTATTACAATCATAAGGTTTCTCTCCAGTGTGAACTTTTTGATGTGTAATAAAGTTTTGCTTTTGGCTAAAGGCTTTGCCACATTCATTACATTCATAGGGCTTCTCACCAGAATGAATTTTTTCATGAGCAATGAGATTTGATTTCTGGCTAAAGGCTTTACCACATTCCTTACATATATAGGGTTTTTCTCCAGTATGAATTCTCTGGTGTCTAACAAGATTTGACATCTGAATGAAAGCTTTCCCACATTCATTACATTCATAAGGTTTTTCTCTGGTATGAATCTTCTGGTGTGTAATGAAGTTTTTCTTATGACTGAAGGCTTTTCTACATTCTTTACATTCATAGGGTTTCTCACCAGTATGACTTCTCATATGTACAGTAAGGGCTGAGCTTTGAGAGAAGGATTTTCCACATTCATTACATTCATAAGGTTTCTCACCTGTATGAATTCTCACATGTATAATAAGCATGGAAAACTGGGAGAAGGCTTTTCCACACTTATCACATTTATAAGGTTTTTCTCCTGTATGACTTCTCATGTGAAGTGCAAGAGATGCAATTCGAGGAAATGCTTTACCACATTCATTACATGCATAAGGTTTCTCCCCAGTATGAACTTTCTGATGTGCAATAAGGCTTTGCTTTTGACTGAATGCCTTTTCACACTCATTACATTCATAAGGTTTTTCTCCAGTATGAATTTTTTCATGATCAATGAGATTTGATTTCTGGCTGAAGGATTTTCCACATTCCTTACAAACATAGGGTTTCTCTCCGGTGTGGATTCGTTGATGTCTAATGAGATTTGACATTTTAATGAAAAATTTCCCACATTCATTGCACCCATAAGACTGTTCCTTAATGTGAATTTTATGATGTATATTAAGTTTTTCCTCGTGGGTAAAGGCTTTACTACATTTTTTACATTCATAGGGTTTCTCTCCACTATGAATTTTTAAGTGTCTTATGAGGTCTAATGTTTGACTGAATCCTTTCCCACAATGGTTACATTTAAAGGGGGCTACTACAAAATGGGACGAACTATTGCCAAATGATTTTATAGATTCACTATATTCATAATGTTCCTTTCTTAAAAGGATTGCTTCACTATTAGAATAGTCAAAATTATGTTTTAAACACTCTCCAAATAAGTCATATTCATAAAGATTGTGAATCGAAGGAAAAATTTCTGATTTTGTAGGAAATACATTCGTGAATTTATAACATTCCTTGACTTTTTCTTCAGTCAGTGACTTTAAAATGACTTTATCTTCAAGTTGCGTCAAAAGTCTGTCCTCGATTTCCTCATGTTTATCAATTTCCCATAGACCACCTAAAACAGATTGCAAATAAAAGCCATTTGTAGTTTTTGTCCAGTATTATAACATCAAAATTATTTTTTAAAACACACTTTTATGGGATTGATTATTGGTTTTTTATGGGATTGATTATTGGTTTTGAGACCAAGTCTCCCAATGGTAAATAAATTCCAGGTGCATAAATATCCTATTTTATAAATTTTGAACAGAAAATTCTAGCAATGGAAATATGAATAAAGAAAATAAGAAAAAGATATTTATAAATGAAAATAGCTTTGAATATTTTAAAACAGGATCCAAAGGAAATGATATAAACTGAGCAAATGAAAGAGAAAATTCAAATAAAGAATTTTTGAAAATTACTTTGTATCAATACATAAAAGCGAATTTGAAATGAATACTAAATATATAATTTCTATGAAAATACATTATAAAAACTAACACCAAAAGAAATAAAAGAAAACACAGGGAATGGGCCTCCTCCCCCCATCTCCCAAGTTTACCAGTAGCTTGGCAATCAAAACTCCGGAAAAGAGCAACAAAGACCTCATCCATGAGTGAACCTGCTCTATAATTGTATTCTAAATTTTAGATTTCCTGGTATATGCAGCTGTATCACACTCTATACCCCTGATGTACCAAGAGCAGCACAAAACCCAATTTGATTGGGCTTAACATGTTTATAATCTCTTACACAAGGGTTTAATGGCTCTGGGGTGAAATACAACAATCTTCACACACTTTTTTCTAAGGAAATTTTACTGGACCAATTATAGTGTATTATTCATAACAAGCAATACAAAATTGTTTTGGTCCTGCTTTTGGGGGCAGAGTTTGGGATATAGGGTGGAAACATTCAAAATATGGTGGTGGGAAAGTGCAGTGGTGGTGGGATTGGTGTTTTTTTTAAAAAAATTTTATTAGTGAAACACCATGAGGTAGAGTTGTAGATTTACAATTTTTCGTGCTTGGGTTTCGATTATACAATGATCAAGTACCCATGCCTCCACCAGTGCCCATTTTCCACCATCATGGATCACAGTATCCCTCCCACACCCACCCCCCCATCCCACCCTGCCTCTGTGGCAGGGCATTCCCTTTTGTTCTCTCTCTCCTTTGGGTGCTGTGGTTTGCAAAAGAGAAATTGAGTGGCAATCATGTTTGTCTATAGTCTACTTTCAGCATGCATCTCCCATCCTGGGCAGATTTTCCAAACACCCTTTATTTGGTGCTCCTTCTCTATCTGAGCTGCCTTTACCCCTAGCGTGTGTGGCTGGCCTCCAAGCCATGGAGTAAACCTCCTGTTACTTATCTCGACTATTCTTGAGTGTTAGTTTCCTATTTTGTAACTTTATGTTCCCCAGATGAATTTCTATGTCTGTCCCTCTCTTTCTGACTCATTTTGCTTAGCATGATACTTTCCATGTAGTAGCACTTGTATGTAAATTTCATGACTTCATCTTTTCTAACAGCTACATAGTACTCCGTTGTGTAGATGTACCAAAGTTTCTTTAACCAGTCATCTGTTCTCTGGCATTCAGGTTTTTTCCAGATTCTGGCTATTGTAAACAGTGCAGCAATCAACAAACAAGTGCAGATGTCACTTCGACTATACTTTTTTGCCTCTCTGGGATATATTCCCAGGAGTGGTATTGCTGGGTCAAAAGGGAGCTCAATTTCTAATTTCTTGAGAATGGTCCATACTGTTTTCCACAAGGGCTGAACCAGTCGGCATTCGGTGGGATTGGTGTTTGAATAGTAAATGTAATAAATTATTGTGAACAACTTAAAAAATAAAATTAAATTAAAAAATACAGAAAGGTTGAAAAAGAAAATGAGAAAATTCTGTCAGAAAATCTCCCTCAAAAAATTCAAAGTCCATGTGCCAGAGAGCTAGTATGGTGGGTAATCACTTGTTTGATGCCTGAGTGCAGAGCCAGGAGTAAGTCCTGAGCACAGGTGGGTGTGCTCCCACCACACTCCCTGCGCCAAAAAAATAAATTCACAAAAAATTGGTATGTGTGTGTGTATATATGTATGTATATATATATATATATATTTTTTTTCTTTTTGGGTCACACCCAGCAATGCTTAGGGGTTAGTCCTGGCTTTGCACTCAGGAATTACTCCTGGCAGTGCTTGGGGGACCATATGGGGTGCCGGGGATTGAACCCAGGTTGGCAGTGGGCAAGGCAAACGCCCTACCCTCTGTGCTATTGCTCTGGCTCCAAAAACCTGATATATATATGTGTGTGTGTGTATATATGTTTATATATGTATATGTATATATGTGTGTATATATATATTTATATATATATGTTTTTTAATTTATTGAATTACCGTGAAAACAGTCACAAAGCCTTTCAAGTCTCGATTGGTCATACAAAGATCAAACACCCGGCCTTTCACCAGTGCACACTTTCTACCACCAAGAACCCCAGTATACCCCCCCTCCCACCCACCTCCCACCTGTGTGGCAGATTTCCACTTTACTCTCTCTCTGTATACATTGATCACATTCAATATTATAACAAAAGATCCAACATTGTTATTTGGAATTTTCCCTAATATTCAGACCTGCCACAAAGACATCATTAGAAAATTTGTTTTCTACTGCTGATTATGAAGAGCAGATGACGTCGTGTGGCCAAAATAGTGGTCACATAATTTTAGAGTTCTGATATTTTACTAATAAACCTAGAGGGATTGCTGCCAGAAGCCCCTGGGTTCGAGATTGGTATGTGTGCCTCTGGGATCATGGTCGGTCAGAAGCCAGAGGAGGCGTTTGAGGGTGGCAACCTGGAGCATTGTCATGGCGGGGAGCAGGGCCAATTCCACCCCCATTCCATGAAGCCCTACATGCCTGTCAATGCAGTCTCATACGTGGCTGTTCATTAGGCTCTAAAAGATGCAGGACACCATGTCACCGACACTTATGCAGCCACGCGACATTTCCTGATATGCAAGGTGATCAATGGAAAGTAAATGATCTAGCATTTGTCCCTTAAAATCTGGCTTGAATGGTCGTGGGAAAGTATGAGCAAAAGATAATGCCCAACTGACAGTGTATTTAACTATGGTACTATGTCGACCTGGGAGTGGAAGGGTATCTGTCCCTCCGCATGTCCCCCTTAGCATACATTTTTGAAATGCCAATAGAGAATACTGGAAGAATTTCTTGGCTGAAATATAAATGGTTATATCCTGGGATATCAGAAAAAAAAAACAACCCTCAGTCATATCTACAAAATTAGACATAAATGTATGTATATGTATGCATTTATAAATTTATTTGTATAGGTGCATATTTTAATACAAAATGTGAAAATTGGAAGCAAACAGGAAAGTTGCACTTCAAAAATTTATTGAAATGAAAGGATTATAGCCATTATTGAAATGATAGCAAAAGACATTAATATAGTGGGAAGTGTGACATAAGATACAAAACTATGACATTAAGGCAATTGTAATGGAAAAAAAGGAAAGAGAAAGGATTGTAAATGTTAACAGGTTGAGCAACTACAATTCTGTAAATTCCTGAATGCAAAGGAGAATACCATGTAAATAATTATGAAGAAACTAAGATAATGATATATATATATGAACTAGGTATGTTGATATCTGGCACATAGCTAGGAAGGCAGCTGTTTAAGTTCTATAAAAATAAGTCTGGAGGAATGAAGAAAGAGATGGCTCAAAGGACTGAGCCTTGTACATTGGAGGCCCAGTTTGGAGGCACAGCAAAACTGAGATTGACTTTTGTGCATAGGGATGGGGTGAAAATAAAAAGAATGTTGCTGGGAGAGCTCAAAGCGCTAGAATGCATGCTTTGTTGGTGGAAGGCCCGAGTTCACTCTCTGGTATCACAACCCCTTCCCCTCAACTAAGCACCACCAGAAGTGACCTCCGAGCACCAAACTGGTTCCTTGAGCACCACTGGTTGTGGTGCAAAACAAAAAAGAAAGTTAAAAATGGTATCTTTATGAAAAATTCAAACCATCACTAGAAAGCCATCACTAAAACCATCTCTAAAAAGTTCTTTAAAAGTATTTTTATAAAAAACCATCTCTGATTATCTGTATCTTTGAAGAACTTTTTAGAGGACTGAGGTATTTACAGAATTAACTGGTAAAGGTTCTGGCTCTTCACCTGTAAGGTTCCCTCTCACTAACCTGGGCAGTGCCTCCTTAAGGCTTCTTCCTCCACAATCCATGGTTCTTCTTCTTGTTCCAATTTGAAAATTACATCAGGTTTGGTGAATGGGTAGCCTGTAAAATGGAAGTGTTATGTATAAGATCAAGTATAAACATAGGAATAAGATAATTCAAGAAGTGAGGCTGGATCAAGGACACTAAGCTTTCTGAAGGACAAGAAACATAACCAAGGGGCTGGAGCGATAGCACAGCGGGTAGGGTATTTGCCTTGTATGCTGCCGAAGGGTTTGATTCCCAGCATCTCAAATTGTCCCCCAAGCACTGCCAGGACTAATTCCTGAGTACAAAGCCAGGAGTATCCCTTGTGCATCGCTGGGTGTAAACCAAAAAGAAAAAAAAAAAACAAACCCATAACCAAGAATAGCTTTTTACTTAGAAAGGCACAATACACATAATCACCTAAAGTCCAAACTTATTGAAGTATTTAAGGTTCCATACATTTTAGAACTAATTGGGCAGAGGGGAATACTTAATTCCCAAAATTTGAGTTACACAGAAAATTGTCCTTACCCACTGTAATTAAGTTGTTATAGTTTTCTAGCATCACATTCCGGTACAGGTTTCTTTGAGCAGGATCCAGCTGCTGCCATTCTTCCTGGGTGAAGTTAATAGCCACATCTTTGAATGTCACTGTTTCCTGTAACAACACACTAGAACTTAATCTGAAGTCGTTCATCTCAGATGAGATGGACAAAACATAATAATTTTTTGTCTCATAATAGACAATGATAAAAAGCTACTGAAAAAATGTTTTCCTTGCCTTATTATCTTCTAAAAAAGAAAAATACATTAGCAACATCCTGTCAATTTGTGTTCATTTATCCATTTAGCAAGCTCCTTTTTTATTCTTTCCTCACCCAACCCCTTCTTTATTTTTTTAATTTTTTTTTCTTTTTGGGTCTCACCTAGCGATGCTCAGGCGTTACTCCTAGCTCTGTGCTCGGGAATTACTCCTGGTGGTGCTTTAGGGACCATATGGGGTGCTGGGAATTGAAGCCAGGTTGGCGGCGTGCAAGGCAAAACGCCCTACCTGCTGTGCTATCACTCCAGCCTCCCTAAACCCCTTCCTTATTAAGCCTAGGCCTCCATATACAAAGCAAGTTCTTTACTGCTGAGCTACATCCCCAAAGCAAATATATCTTTTCAAAAACTACTATGGATTAATGAGATCACTGTCACTGTCACTGTCCTCCTGTTGTTCATCGATTTGCTCGAGCGGGCCCAGTAACGTCTCCATCATGAGACTTGTTGTTACTGTGTTTGGCATATCGAATACATCACGGGTAGCTTGCCAGGCTCTGCCGAATGAGATCATCAACATTTATTTCTGCTGAGTGTGAACTGGTTTGGGAACTCATTAGATAACTGTTAACACTAATGAAAAACCAAAATAAACACAGGATTTGGATGGAATTAGATGTAGGGAGAAAATGACATGCAATATCTGAAGTATATTAGGCTGTCCAATTGAAGACATTCAATGATACAGCAGTTAGACGTACTGTTCATTACATCAGGGAAAATTCAGAATGAAAACCTGAAAACTCATTTCTTTTGTTTTGGGGTCACATCTGGTGGTGCTCAGGACTTACTTCTCACCTTGTGCTCAGAGAGCCCTCCTGGAAGAGTCCAGGGAGAATATGAGATGCTGGGAATCGAATCCAGTTGGCTGCATGCAAGACAAGCACCTTACCCACTGTACTACTGCTCTGTTCCCAAAATGAGTCTTTAAAACTTATTATTTACACTCCTGATTTTCTTCTGGGTTTTAGGCCACAACTGGCAGTGCTCAGGAGCTACTCCTGCTGTGGTGCTGGGAGTCACTCCCAGCAGTGACGGGGGGATCCTATTCAAACTCCTTAAAGGTAGCACAGACACAAAATAAGATACAATTGACGTGACTGCTCAGAGTCCAGAAATATTGATAAAAGAGGTCCACAGACAGTGTCCACAAACAGTATTCTATAAGAACATCAAAGACTTAACAAAGAAATATTCAGTAATAATGTTCCATAGGGCTGGAGAGATAGCACAGCGGATAGGGTGTTTGCCTTGCACGCAGCCAACATAGCCGATCCGAGTTCGATTCCTCTGCCCCACTCAGAGAGCCCGGCAAGCTACCGAGAGTATCTCGCCTGCGTGGCAAAGCCTGACAAGCTACCCATGACGTATTCAATATGCAAACACAGTAACAACAAAGTCTTACATTGGTGATGTTACTGGCCCACTCAAGAAAATCGATGAACAACGGAAGGACAGTGACAGTGACAGAATGTTCCATAAAGTTCGAGCTAGAGTGATAACCAGAATAAGAAAGCTTTAGGGGCAAGGGGAGATGATGGTGCAAGGGGCTGGAGTGTATGCTTTGCCTGTGGGAACCCTGGTTCTACTGCTGATACTGCATGATTCCCCGAGCACTGTGTGATTGCAGCCCCTGAGTATTACTGACTGTGAAACAACAAATATAAAGGTGAAGGAATGATAGAGTCAAATATCCAAACCATAGAGCTTCAGCACTGAAGTCAAGAAACCCAAATGTTAGCAAAAGAACTTAGAAAGGTAACTTTCAAGAGGGCAGGATGGGGGTGGGGGTAGGCGCATATGGGAAGGAACCTGGGAACATTAGTGGAGGGAAGTTGACACTGTTGTTGGCATCTGTGCTGCAATACTGTATGTCTAAAACTCAATTATGAATAACTTTGTAAGTCACAGTGCTTTAGTTTAAAAAATGTATTGACTGGAAAAAGAAAAAAATAGTACAAAAATATAACCAAAGTCATAGTAATAAAAACAAGTTTTTTCTCAGTGAAAGTAGGTAAAGATTTTTATTTTTACTTTTCAACCTAGTTTTGAAACTTGTAGACAGAGGAAAAATATCTAAGGGTAATCCAAATGAGAAAAATGATTTTATTTATGAATGACAACAAACACTAAAAACTCTAATTATATTATCAACATTTATTACAATTGGTGAGCAACTTACAGTATTCAAGTATAAAATAAAATATATTAAAGTGAAAAAATATTTGGAATAAATTTCATAAGTGAAATTCTCATAAGCAATGGGATCTGAGTATAGAAACCTAACGTACTTTTCCTACTTACGAACTGAGATGCCCCAAAGAATATAAACATAAGAAAAAACTTCAATAGCAAAAGAAGGAAGTTGCTAATACTTCTTAACTTTTGAGGAATTTCTACAATAGATGATATCAGATAAAAGGAATTCACCAGGAACTGGTTGATAATCGGGATTTTTTCAGAATTTATTTCTAGATCCTAATAAGAAAAGAAATATCTATTAACATTAGGTTTTTGGAGAGGGCATCCCCAGAGCTCTATCAAGAATAAAACAGGGACAGAGAGCTAGCCAAGGCGTTTGCTCTGCATGTGGCCAACCCAGGTTTGATCCCCAGTATCCCATATAGTCCCAAGCACCGCCAGTTCCTGAGTGCAGGGCCAGGAGTAACCTTTGAGCACTGACAGGTGGGCACAAAAACCAAAATGAAAAACAAATAAAAAGAATCTCTCTCTCTGACTTTCTTTCCTTTCTCTCCCATCTGATGGTGGTGGTGTGAGTGTACTTTGGCAGAAGATGGAAATATGCAGAGTGTTGGCCTAAATATGAAGCTAGGGAAAGAACATGAATATGAGTTTTAGCCTTTGGGGTAACAAAAGGGAAGTGTGAACATAGCTGCTGGGTTGTTGTAGGATTAAGAAGAAGAGGCATATGAACTTAGTTCTGCCACAGGAAGCAAGAACAGTTTAACAGTTTTATTCATAGAAACTAAAAACGCCTCAGAATCCTGAATAGTGGCAGTCTATTGAAAACATTTAATAAAAACTAACTAGCAGTGAAAGTATTTGAAGGCATCAATAATAAACTTCAAGGAATATGAATAAACAAAGAAGCATGCTAATACAAAAGGATCATAAGAATTTCCTAGTAACTGATTCTAAAAACATTCCAAAAATACGGAGATTTGCAATTTAAAAAAAATTCAAAATAGGGGCCAGAGATATGATATAAAAGTCAAGGTGCTTGCCTGATATGTAGACAAACCTGGTTTGAATCCAGTCACCACATATATTCCTCCAAGCACCACCTGGAGCACAGAGGCAGAACTAAGCCTTGAGCAACACCAGGTGTAGCCCCTAACAAAACAAAACAACAACAACAACAAAAACCCAACAAATTTTAAGATAGAGGTACTAAGAAAACTCAACGAGCTACAAGAAAGCACAATTGAAAAATAAGGAAAATAAACAAAATGAGAAGGATAAGGAAGAGTTAAAGAGCATTCCAGAATGGGAACTCGCAAATAAAATGTGTAATAAAGAGAATTAAGGGCCGGGGATAGAACTCAGTAGTAGAGCACTTGCATGGCATGTATGAGGTATTGAATTCAGTCCTCCAGATGGTGAAAACAAACAGAAAGAATTATAGTCAAATAGATCAAGAAGAAGAAAACATTTGTAAACCAGGAGACAAAAACTTTGGGCTTGCTCTTCAAGTTTTCCCTTGATCATGTATCTTGCTTGCTTGTTGCTATGTCTCTTTGCTTGTTCACTCTGGAGAAGCCCATGTTCCTTCTTGAACCTGTCCTTTCTTTCTCTCCCTCCCCTCACATCTTTCTAAATAAAAACAAACACGGTCCTCCCATTGTTCATCGATTTGCTCGAGCGGGCCCAGTAACGTCTCCATTGTGAGATTTGTTGTTACTGTGTTTGGCATATTGAATATATCATGGATAGCTTGCCAGGCTCTGCCATAAGGGTGAAATACTCTCGGTAGCTTGCTGGGCTCTCTGAGAAGGGCAGAAGAATCGAACCTGGCTCGGCCAGGCTGGCTGCACACAAGGCAAACGCCCTACCGCTGTGCTATAAGTTTAATAAAAAAAAAAATCTTAAAAAAAAAAGACAAAAACTTTGAAGTATTAGTAATAGGGAAAAAATATGAAGAAAGCTTATGTGAACCTTTGGAGACAATGATTTGAAATCCTACACAGCCTTAGAATGGAAAAAGGGAGAAAAGGGAAGAATTATCTAAATTAATGGAAGAGAATGGCCCAAATCTGGGGAGAAATCTGGATATTCATATTCCTAAAGTTCACAGGTCATCAAACAAACTCAATTAAAATGATCATCTCAACAACATATTATAGTAAAACTGTTAAAAAAAAAACAGAAAATACTAAAAGCAGCAAGAGAAATCCAGCTTGTAGCTTACCGAGAACCCTACTTAGACTCAAAGTGGATTTTTGAGAGGAATATTATATAAAACTTGCTAAGAGAGAATGATATGATCCATTCAAATTGCTAAAAGAAAATGAAAACCAAGAATACTGTATTCACTAACATGTCCTTCAGAAGTGAAGGAGAGAAACTTTCCAAACAAAAGCTAAGGAAATTCATCACCACTAGACCTACCTTAAAAGAAATGCTGAAAGGAGGTCTTCAAACTGCAATGAAAGGACACTAATTAGTAACAGAAAACAAAGGAATATGTACTTCAAAGATAAGTATATAGTCAAATTCAGAAAAAACTCTAATTCTGTAATATGGTGATGGGTTAACTAAAAGGTTAAAGAGGGAAGGCAAGAAGGTTGAAGAACAGGAGCACAGAATATAAGTTTA